CTTCCTTCCTTCCTTCCTTCCTTCCTTCCTTCCTTCCTTCCTTCCTTTGTTTTTAAGACAGAGTTTTTCTGTGTAGTCCTGGTTATACCGAAACTTACTCTGCAGACCAGGCTGGTCTTGCATTCAGAGAAACCCCTGCCTCTTGCTTCCCAAGTGCTAGGATTAAGGGTATGCACCATCATGCTCTCTTAGCACATTTATTTAGAATCAGAGCAGGCAATCATAGGTGATGTACGGAGCTAGAATGGAATTCAGCTTACCCCACCAAGCAAAGTCTTCCATGTCTTACTTAAAGGTTCAGGTAGAAACCAGTTTGAGGTCTTATCAAATGTTCCTCCTGGTGCTGTCTTCATGTATAAAAGCACTTTCTACATTGATTGTGTGAACTTGTTTGGGCAAACAGGTTGTACCAGGGATATTGACAAGACCACACTGATCTGAGGTATATTTTTATACATCAAGAGACTGAAAAACAAGTAAGACCTGTTATTTAACAGGTTCCCTAAACACATTTATTAAGTAACAACAAAAATGACCAAGTGAACTTTGCAAGATCCTTTGACCTTGACTAACACTAGGGAAAAATGATTTCTTTGCATATATCTATACAATCTTTTAAGATTCCGTTTTTAAAATTAATGCATGTACTTTCTATATTTAAAATTAGACCATGATAGTGAATTGATGTTTCTGTGGCGTTTCTCAGAGTACACTGGTACAGTATATAGTGGTTTTTCATACATATTTTAATTTTAGTTTTAGTTTTATTATATTTATGTGACAATACAACATTCTGAATATATTTTGCATTCTAAAAGACTGAAATTTTAGCTGTTCCTCACAGAGTTAATAATACACCTTAAGGTCACTTAAGACTTGAGACTGCAGGCCTTTTGTGTATTCAGTTTGTTTAACCTGCCTTTAAGAAATAATGTAACAGTCTATCTTCTTGAATTGGATTTTCCATGTAATCAACATTTGCAACCTAAGTTAATGCATAGCTGTAATCTTAAATAATCTACTCTTCCATGCCCCTGAGCCAGGTAAACCATGTGTATAATTTGCTAAAGCAGCAAATATAGAAGTTTAAAGCCACTTTCAAAAGTCTACCATAAAAGTTGAAAGCAGTCATATTGGTTGATAAAAAAACAGTGTCTATCATTGATGTTATCTGGGTCAGTTGGGATCAGTTGGTGCCGCAGACTTAATCCCTTGTAAAACTCTGTTAAAAAAAGATTTCTGTAAAGTATCCCATTTCTTCCCCCATGTGATAATTTCTGCGTTGTGCAATAAACACAGAGTGAAGCCCTCTTTGAGAGACAGACACACACAGAACTCACAAAGAGACAGACACACACAGGGATAGACACACAGACAGACATATTTGCAAGACAGTCTTCAGGCAGGTACAGGTTTAGACTCACACAACAGAGAGGTGAGAACTGAAGGCACAGAGAACATGAGCAGAGGATTCAAATCTGCACTTTGTTCTTGATTAAATGACTCCAAGGGAAAGGTTTTTACTTCTTTCCTTAGAGCGACACTGATGCATTCTTGATAACTTGACCTTAGTCACTGATAGATATAATCTGTGCATGTTTAAAAGGTGATTTTTGTTTCTGTTTTCGTTCTGATTTTAATAACAGGCTTTTATCAATAATGTATAGTTTTGGTAGCCAACTGTATCTACATATATGTTAAATACTTATATTGGAATTATTTCTTCTTTCTACTTTGTATGTGTGTGTATTTTCATACATACATGTGAATTTGTGGATATGTGTACATGTGAAGGCCTGGGGACAGCCTTGGGTGTCGTTCCTTAGGTGCTATCTCTTATTTGGAAGGCAGGGTTTATTACTGTCTTGGAGTTTGGTAAGTAGGCCAGGTAGGCTGGCCAGTGAGCTTCACAGATATGCCTGTTTCTGTTTTTCCAGCACTAGGATTATGAGTGAGCAGCATGATACCTGTGGCCTTTGTTAACTTGGATTCTAGTACTCAAACTCAAGTCCTGCTGCTTGCGAGGCAAGCACTTTAATGAAAAGCTATTTTCCCAGCCTCTCCTTTATTTTCTTAAAATTATAATTTAAGCAATTAAATTATCCAGGGATTGTTCTATTTTCTTATGGATTATTGCTAACTAAAAGCCTTTGGGTTTTACTAATTATAGTAATAAAATGATTATTAGTTAAAATTGCAAAAATATTTAGGATATATTTAGATGATAAAACTAATATCAAAATTTTTACAGGCATTATTTGAACACTAAGATATTTCTATTGTCTTTGTATTTCATTACATTTTAAAACATCCCCAAACAAAATGACATTCTAGTTTGTCTACTTTGGAAAGGCACTAGGGATATACTTATTAACATATAATTTAAAATTTGAAATATTAAGTAAGTTCTGTGGGGAAAGGTTGTGCAGATAATAAGTATAATATAGTAATTAATAGACTAGTTTGCTTAAACTCTTTCTTCTTCATTTTGATTATATATTTAGATGAAGGATTACCTCCTGAAGCAAGTGATGACAAAGAGGACACTGGCTTCCAGTTTCTGATTGGCTATACATATATAGTTTAAGTCAGAAACCAAAGAATGTTCATGTGTCTCCAAATCTGTGCATTATTACACACATTAGAAAACTGCAACATTAAACAGCTTTAGTCTATTAACATATAAGAAATGCCAAATGCATTTAGTAATATTTAGAAATACCTGGGGCCTTTAATGCTAGAGACCATTCCTTATTCATATCTCATTTTGAACAAGTAGGCATAAACCTTCCTAATACTATACTGGGATAAGTTGTTTGAAAGAAGATGGGCCCTTCCACAAGATTACACAGACCATTACCACTGCTTTTAACTGCCCACCATAACTAGATGGTAAGACATTATTTCTGAAGATACCATATATTTTGGTTGCAGAATATAGGGAAATTATGCTGGAACTGACTCGGAACTTCTTCCTGGTCAGTGTTTATAGTGCTAGAAGGGACTATGTAGGCCACTGAGGGAGAAAAATCATCAATGGTTTTACCCAGTGGTAATTCCATGTTCTACAATACTAAAATGCCAGGCTAGATGTGTTCACTGATGCTACAGTGTCATGGATGTTGCAGGAGTAACCAACAACTTTCTGATTGGATTTGAATCCCTTTCCACAGGAGGTAATTAAATTGTGATACTATAAACCCAGTTAAAAGCTCATGTCTGGAGAGGGGATAAGCCCAAATAAAGAAACAATCTACTACTGTTCTCTTGCTAAATGGTCATGTAGTCAAATTGCCTTCTATGTATTTATTTATAACCATAGATTAGTAATATTCTCAATCTGGGTCAGAGAGGCTTCTTTTTGCAGTAAGCAGAAGTCAATGCAGAGACTCATAACTGGCCAAAGTGCTGAGAAACAAGTAATTGCTTAATGATTAGTCTGAGTGGACCACCTATAATGTGCTCGCCTTGCAAGGCTCAAGACAGCATGACAGTCAAGACAGCATGACAGTCAAGACAGCATGACAGAAGAAGGGGCAGACAGAATGTACGAGCCAGAGAACAGGGAGAAGTGCTGTGAAATGCTGTCTTCAGGACAGAACCTGGCTGTCACACTCGCAGCCTTACATCAGCTGTGGATACCTGTGTGACCTGATCAGTTCCTGAACTCACTTGGAGGTGGAAAGAGGGAACCAACTCAACAAAGTTGTCCTCTGATCTCCACACGCACCTGTGGCATGTGCGCTCTTCCAATCATACATCATACACACACAATAATGATTAAAATCTCTCTTTTCTCAAAATAAAGATGTTAATGTGTGTTTTTTAGTAAATAATTGCCTACATTTTGATAGTATACTTATATGGCCTAAATCAGAAACTGCAAAAACCTACCCTATTCGAAGTGATCTGTTAAACATCGCAATCAGAGAGAAAATCGGCAACAAGATGCCCAAGAAGACCATTCCCGACAAAAATCCAATGTCTTGACTATTATCTAACAAAGGAAAGAAAAGTAATTTTAACTAGGCATTTGTGTCCACGTGATGACCATGTCGTTGCTTTCTGTACTCTGCTTAGAGTGACAGTCAAGAGTTAACACTCACCTAAGACTACAAAGTGACTGCCCTTCTAGATTGCCTGACTGTGTACCCCAGGAAACCATCTTCTGTCTGAGAAAATTGGACCACATCCACCTGAGGTCAGTGGGTTTCTAGAAGTGCATCTCCAGCAAATGTGGTCAGCTCACACGAACATATTTTATATGAATATGTGTTCTGATGAACCTCACTTGGTTTGTCTGACCCAGCTGAGAATTCCCAACTGCTGTGACAATGTCTAAGGCAGTCCCAAGCCACAGCTAGGATCTTTTTGTAACCTTTTCTGCGAGGCAAAATTTATCTGACTTCTCACCATGCATTAAAATGAAATTTGACCTATGAGAAAGCACAGCAATTCTGCTTAGCACAATATATGCTGTGAGAAAGAAATAAAAATTGCTCTATCTTACACCTATTTTAAAAAGACCTTTCTTACATTTTGAAGTCGACTCGATCTCTTTAGCTTTCTCAGTACAGTTTATCCAACACGCGCTGCTCAGAGACTCACCACATTTCTCCCCAGTACCTGGGACGATAACCTCAGTATTTTCAGATCTCGACGATATTTCAGATGTGACTTTACCATCTTGGGACTTGTGGGCCATTCTGAGTTAGCAGCTACCTTTCCATCCTCCTTCTTCCATCCCTGCCCCTTTCCCACTTTTCTTAAATAATTCGCGCTAGGCAGCTTCTAGCCCCACACTAGCCACGTCTCTGCTCCATTCACCTGGGGGTGTCCAGGCTGGCCTTCCTCATCTTTAAACCCACTTGCCAGGTAGGAGCCTGTGAACTTTAGCCTGTTCCAAATTCTCACACACTCGGGAATTGGTATTTTTCTAGGGCTTAAGAGTTATTTTTGAATATTCTAAGCAACTAATGGGGTTACACACTATTGCACACTGTTGGGCATTTGAGCTTGGAATTAGAGAGAAAGTTATCAAGGTCACATGGTGCTCAGAGAAATGGTTTAAGGAGGGGATCAGAGACACCAGGAGACCAGGAGTCTAGTTGAACTCTGCCATTCATTAGCTCTATAGATTTGGGGAATAATTACAAACTTGTTGAGATTCACATTTAATTTTCTATAAGATATAGAACATCCTGTGTGTCTAATGGAGTTGTCATGGGTCCCAAGCCTCCAAAATTTCCACAGAAAATTCACAGTGCATGTGTGCAATTAGAAATCTATACTGGGATGTTTTTGCCTGTTTCATGTTTCTGCACAATATGAGACATTTTCCCTTTTATTTTGTTATTTTTCTCCCCTATCTATGAAAAGTAGAACCTCAAGACAAAGGCATTGTTTACATTTTCCTTCCATCCTTTTCTTCCTCTTTTCTTTTCTTCTTTCCTCCATCTCTTGTCTCCTTCACTCTTTGGCAAGATCTCATATAGCCCAGACTGGCTTCTAAACTTGCTACGTAGCTGAGGTATTGAACTGTTGATCTTTCTGCTTGAACCTCCCCACTGTTAGGATTAAGGCAAATACCACCAGGTCCAGCTTTGTTCATTTTTTTCATTGTTAATTTCCCATCACCCAGAACAGTACCTGATATATAGTCATTTAACACATATTTGTTGAATGAATTAACAACAGTGCAAAAATGTCAACACAACCTGCAAAATTTCTTATTCTAGTCCTGTTAGATTTTTGTGCCAGGAAGCAAATAGTCTACTAGTGAAATAGTCAAGGCCTCAAGTTTTTCAATGTCAAATTTCAATTTGGAGTTATATTGTATTGTATTTTTTGTCTAATTTTTAATTATAATTATATAAATATAATTTTATAATTATAATTTTGTCTAATTTTTGTCTATAAAATTGTCATTGTATAATTTTGTCTAATATTTTTACATGCTAAAACATTTGTGCATGGCCATCATAAAAACACATCAAGCCATATTACCAAATAAAATGGTAACTGGTTCATCTAAAAGAAAGAGCACAGACTTGTATATTTAGAAGGATAGGGCTGAGTGTGATGTCTCATGCCTGGAATCCCAGCACTTGGAAAGCTGAGGAAGGAGACTTGTGAATTTCAGGACATCCTGGAACTGGGCTACAGTGTGAGACCCTGTCTTGAAAAACAAAACAAAGCAAAAACTAACAAATAAATAAATGAAAACAGAAGAGTAAGATTTGAATTTCTAATAGCGTTGTACATTTTGGTATTTTTTAACCTTCCTGAACTTCAGTTTTCCCACCTATAAAGTAGACCCATGGCATTTATCTCAACAGGTTGCTCTTCAGATTGACAGATGATGTATATACAATCCTAGCATATGATGGACAGGTGATATATTTTTTAAAATATTTTAGGACTTGAGACTCAGAAGAGTCTGCTGAAATAACAATGTGACTAACTCACTACCACAGCAGGTTGGACTATTGCTTACAATCAGTTTAAGCACATTTTGAACCTAGTCAAGTATTTCCCAGAAATGCTGATCATTTATTTTTGGTATGGAATTTTTCTGCTGAGGAGGCCTTAGTGCGTGCGTGCGAACACACGCACGCACGCATGCACACACACACACACACACACACACACACACACACTACATAATGCATTATCACACACATATGCACACATAAATGTGTGTGCATTTTTTTTTTTTTTTTACCGAAAATAGAATGTCTTTTAATGACTGTAGCAGCAAGCATCCCAATCTTCTGAGATTCATGGGACGATCTTGATGTGACCTGGGGAACTTAGAACAAGAAAGAGAGAGTATCAGCAATTTAAGTCTTGACATTCAGGTGACCCACTTTCCTGAGACATTCTCTTGTCTGTAGATGATCAAACTAGTAATTTCCATAGGCTCAGAGGGTGGAATAAAGCACAGATCTCAACTATGTACCTTTTCTTATTTTCTTGTCAGTAACTATGTGTCGAAGGAGGAACTTCTGCCTGGACAGTTAAAAACTACTCCAGGCTTTAAAATGCCAATGTGGCTAGCAATTTCACTTGGTTCCTGGCAACATACACCAAGACAATACCAAGATAAAAATTCCACTCAACCACAAAATGCACAATAACTTGTCCCTACTTGGTTTCTTCCAATAGGCGATGAAGCTATGAAGCTATGAAGCCCGAGTTGCCTTGACCATCCAAGCTGCATCACCTCTGCCTTGATACAGACTCTAGTTGCTCATCCTGCTTTGGCTGCACCAAGGGGAGTTTTCATGAGCAGACACTTTGAGGTTGTAACACAGTGGTGCGATGTCACTAATGACTACTCTCTGCTGCTTTCCTGCTCGGCCTCGAGGATCTTGACCAGCCCTGTCTAGCCATCAGACTTTCAGGGCCCCACTAATGAAAACTTCAAAACTGGGTGAGGTAAGAAGTCTTGGCAGTTAATTTACTTTAAGTCTGAATTCAAAAGCGTTCCATAGAAAGCTTGCCCATCTCTTGTTTCCTAATAAATGAGAGCTGTCAGAGGTGACTTCGAAGACACAACCCTCAAGAGCAGGAGACAGCACCAAAGAAGGTTCTGATTCTGAAAAAGGTTCTAGGTTCAGCATTCCATAAATCCGAGTTACCCAGTCGTTCTAGGGTCGCTATTCAAATTCACCTTCTGAAAAAGTGTCTTGCACAACTTGAGATGTCCCTGTTGGCAAGCCACCAAAGTCTTAGGTGATAAATTGTAGTCCCTGGGACTCTCATTAAGAAATGGACAACACATATTCAAAGAAAAGATTCTTACAGACCTTTAGAATTTTTTGAAAAGGCTAATTGTATGTAGTCAACTTCAGTCCAGTTTCTGTCAGTTAGGGATGGGGATTTTATTTTATTTTATTTTTTTTAGTAAATTTTATTAAATTATAAAAGTTTCCATTTCCACCCCCCC